GAAATGCTAGTTTATTGACTCAAGATTTATAATTATTAGTTTTTAGCATAATTTCACCGAATCAATAGTTACTTTTACGTTCATAAATTTCAATAAAAATGTTATAATATAAGAACTAAGAAGCTAAAATAGATTGCCAATGCAAGAGATCAAATCATTCTTCGTCAATCATCAACATTCAGTTTTAAAGATTAAACAACAAATCAAATTCTTCTAATCAATATTGAAAAAAAGATAAAAAAGACGAATAGATTTGCGACCTTGTAAAATTATCAATATGCTCTTTATTTTTTATTTTCCTTTTCATCATTCAATTTTATTCCACCAACTTTTTTAGTAAATCTGATATGAATATGCCGTTATAATATATTAAATTGACTTAGTTGTTACTTAAATTATTAAATTAATTATAATTAATTTACTAATATAGAATAATTTTAGCCTCAAACTGTTAAGCTACATAATTAAGATAGGAGTTTCATTTTGCTCATTTAATTCAATGCACGTAATCATGTAAAGAATCACTAAAAACGTTATAGTTAACAAAGTGCCCAATGATTATGGTTTGAGAACAAAATAGAGTGTTAAAATGTATATAAACTTTAATTATTATTTATTAAATGAATCACTTATTTTTACATCATCTCCAAAAAAAGGGCAAAAAAATAATTTAACACCTTAGATCTTAGTCTATAGCAATGTTGATCAAGAAAAGAACATGAAAATTATAAAGATCGTAGAGAAAGTAAACTCGAAAATTTCAAAGTCGCAAGCAGCAAAGAGAGCTAGATTTGACTCTTTTCTTCTCAATCTAAATTTTAATTACGAATTAAAATAATGATTGGAGAAATTTGATAAAATTTTCTTGTTATTTATAGTGATTTGGTAGGAGTGGAATAGTTGTAACGTTTTTTTTTATCATTAGTGCACATAAAGTTATGTTAGTGTACCATGAGTTAGTGGAGGAGTGTTATGAGTGGGTGATTAATTAAAAAATTAATGGCAATCAATTGGGAGGTTATAAAAAATTGAGCATGTATGTCTTCATGTATGTATGCATGGATGTGCAAGCATTTGGGAGGTTATAAAAAATTGAGCATGTATGTATGAATGGATGTACTGGAGGGCATTTTGGGTAGAAATGTTTTAACATGGCAACCCACTTTTATAATAGTATTAGATTTTGATAAAAACTCAACAGAAAATAGTGTTTAAATGAAAATCTACTTTAACATGATTCCCCTATAAATTAAACAATAAAGATGTTTCATGTATTACAATCCTATTTTAAAAATAGTTTCATATAAAAAAGGGAAAAATGTGTCCAGATCCCAAAAGTAAGGACTTCATGTGACCAGACCCCTTGTATTTTGGCCCATGTGATTCAGCCTAAAAAGTAGCATTTAATATTTCAAGACCCTTCCAGATCAGCAGTACAAAAAAAGATTGTATTTTGAAAAAAAAACCCAAAATTGCCCCTTCACTTATCTTCCCTAGACGTCTGGTCCCCAAAAACATGGAAAATCGTGTCCTATTAATGCGAACTTACTGAAAAATGGAGGAAAATTTCCCGTCCTTTTTAAAACTCTATCACGAGCAATAACTCATATTAGTTCTAAGTTATTTAATGTTAGTTCTAACTTATTTCATGTTAGTTCTAATTCATGTTAAAGCTAACTTTAGTTCTAAGTTATTTAATGTTAGTTCTAACTTATTTCATGTTAGTTCTAATTCATGTTAAAGCTAACTTTAAGTAGAACTAACATTAATACAGTTCTAACTTATTTCATGTTAGTTCTAATTCATGTTAAAGCTAACTTTAAGTAGAACTAACATTAATACTTTAGGCTACTTGATCTAGTGGTAAAGCTTGGGAATTTAGAGAGGAGGTCAGGAGTTCAAACCCCTACAGCTACAATATATATTTGAAGGTCTTTGATTGGACCTTGGGCCTGGCTCTTTGTTAATTCTAACTCACTTCATGTTAGTTCTAGTTCTAATTCATGTTAGTTCTAACTTAATTCATGTATAATTGTCGATTTTAGTGACCATGTTAGTTCTAACTTAGTTATTGTTAGTTTTGACTGTTGTGGTGTTAGTTCTAGTTGTCCTCATGTTAGTTCTAACTCCATCTAGCGTTAGTTCTAGTGTAAGTGTTGGTTCTAGTGGCTATGTTAATTCTAGCTTAGTTATTATTAGTTCTGGCAGTTGTGATGTTAGTTCTAACTGTTCTCGTGTTAGTTCTAGCTCCATCTAGTCTTAGTTCTTGTGTAAGTGTTGGTTCAAGTGGCTATGTTAGTTCTAGCTAAGTTATTGTTAGTTCTAGCTGTTCTCGTATTAATTCTAGCTCAATCTAGCGATAGTTCTAGTGTAATTGTCAGTTCTAGTGGCCATATTAGTTCTAGCTAAGTTATTATTAGTTCTGGTTGTTGTGGTGTTAGTTCTAGCTATCCTCGTGTTAGTTCTAACTCCATCTAGCGTTAGCTCTAGTGTAAGTATTGCTTCTAGTGGCTATGTTAGTTCTAACTATAACCAACACTTGTGATAAGAATAACACAGGCTGGGGCTAGAGCTAACACGAGATGGGCTAGAACTAACTGTACATAAACCAGTACTAACATTGAATCAGCTAGAACTAACTTTCAGTTCTAGTGGTTCTCGTGGTAGTTCTAGCAAATGTCATGTTAGTTCTAACTTCCAGCTAGTGTTATTTCTAATATAAATGTTAGTTCTAGTGGTATGTTAGTTCTTGCGTGATTTAGTGATTGACAAAGTTCTGTATAAGAGATTAAGAGAAGAAATTTTCAGAAGCTCGCATTGGGTTTTAGTTTTATTTTGTGTTAGTTTTAGTTGTTAGGTCTAATTGGATTCATGTTAGTTCTAACTCGTTTCTTTTTAGTTCTAACTCAGTTCATGTTAGTTCTAAATAGTTAGTTTTAATTTAAAACTAACAGGAACTGAGTTAGAACTAACAGGAACTGAGTTAGAACTAACATGAGTTAGAACTAATTTTAATAAAAGTTTCGTGTATGTTGGGCTATCAAATTGTTAAAGAAATTTAGAAATTTTGGGTATAAGGTGCAAATAACTATTATCATATAAAAGCAGTGAGACAGAGGCTGCCGTGAGACAAAATCACTAGTATTAGAACTCTTAAAAGAAAACAACCTTTGGATAAGTGGTTCTGTTGACATATGCACCGAAACCTTATATAGTTCATGCCGAAGCTGCTTAAACTTGCTATTACTTCTCTTTAAGCAAAGCATCATAGTGTGGCAACGGCCCAGACAAGAAAAAAATCGCTCTTTCCGTCAAAAAAAAAAAAAAAGAAAAGAAAAAATAGCTCTAGAAGCAGATAATCTCTTATGGTTACTTGAAATATTAGCAGATAGGCATATAGCTGATGAGTTCTTGATGTTGTTGGTTTTGCCGAAGGCGAACCTGTTGTGGTTTATGAAGATGGCGTCGAGGTCCTTGTCGAAGACGGCTCGGCAGGCACCTTGCCCTCGAACTCGTTGTACCTGATGTCGAGAAATTTCAGGGAGGGAGCCGGAGACGACCTAGGGAACTTATCGACAAACCGATTGTTGCTCAGGTCGAGCTTGAAGAGCAACCTCATCCTCTCGAAGGTCCAAGGGATCGTGCTGTAATTCCCTTAGGAGGCTGAGCTCCTCGGGAGGTACCCGACGATGTCGCCGTGGTTGAGGTCGACACCGGCGATGACCTCGATGGAGCGGTTCGACTACAGGGTGGGGCCGCGTTGGATGCAAGGGTGGGTGCGGGTTTCGGTGTTAGTTCTAATACACAACTAGAACTAATATGAACTAAGTTAGAACTAACACGGTTCGTGTTAGAACTAACATGAACCGAGTTAGAACTAACACAGTTCGTGTTTAGTTCTAATACACAGCTAGAACTAACATGAACCGAGTTAGAACTAACACAGTTCGTGTTAGAACTAACATGTACCGAGTCAGAACTAACACAATTCATGTTTAGTTCTAATACACAGTTCGTGTTTAGTTCTAATTTTCCTTATCCCTCTTTCAAATTCACAGCTTCTTAGATTCTTTAGTCGACTTTAGTCGACTTTTAATCACAAGAAAAGGGTATTAAAGAAAAACCCAAACCGCTGTTCAAGAATCCAAGGAGATCCCATTTCAATTAAATGAAAGAGAAAAACTACAAAAACCCAATATAGATTCCCTTCATAAATTACAAGAAAACAAGAGCACTATCTTGATTAAGGCATTGATTTGGGTAAAGAGATTCAGAAACTCAGAAAGGGGAGAATGACGGTGCCTTGGACCAAAGCTCTGGGCCCCATCAGCTCGCGGGACCCACCGGGCCGTGTTTGTCGTTGAACCCGCGTTCACGAGCTGTTTCCAAGATGACTCCCGGGGCCCTGCTAAGTTGGGTCAAATCAGGGGTCGAACTGTGTTAGTTCTAGTTTGTGATGGGGGAGTGGAGTTGGCCGAGGCGAAGGAGGTCTGGGGTCGCCGTTGGGCCCCCTGTTGTTGTCCTCGGTATAGTAGCAGGTCTGGTGGAAGTCAGCCCCATCCCAGACGGCCCAGCCATCGAGCCTGATCACGTCCCTAATCTCCGACTCCATGACCACCGTCCTCACCTTCGCCTTCCACGGCCTCCCCAGGGCCTGATCATTTTCAGTGGCCATGGCAGAAGTCAGAGAGAAGGAGAAGTTGAGAGATAGAGGGTGAGAGAGAGAGAGAGATGCGATTAATGATGGAGAAATTGGGAATAAACAGGGAGAGACACAATAACCGAGTTCAGTCTCATCAAATAGGCAAGTTCGTAACTTCCACTGGGTTTTTTTTAAAATCTGATACTTTGGGGTCTTGTCACAGATACTGTGTGTATTTGGAGCTTATCCATATGGAACAAAATACAAAGAACCTCGTCACATGATGTTTATGCTTTTGGGGGCCTCAACACTTTTTTTCCCCTAAAAAAACCCATAAAAAAGTGGGGTGTGGGTTTTCAAAATTAAGCTTTGTTTTGTCTCAAAATTTTACGCACATTCTCCTGTTCCCCTCCGCATTATTTTCTCAATCAGAATGCACTCCCCTCGCCTCTACTATTATATCCCCCTCCGCCGCCTCTCTCAGCGCCTCACCGACGCCAGGCTCTCCGTCATCAACAGCGAGCTCCACCGCTTCCAATCCCCGAGTCCAGTCACCGCCCCTTCTCCTCGACTAAACTCACCGCCCCGAAATGATCCAAATCATCACGAACAACAAGAACAAGGCCCAGCGAAAGGAAGAGGAGGAATAGAAATAGCTCATCAATGGCCAGAATGGACGGAGCTCGTGGAGATTCTCTTCAAGAAAGGGTATCTGGATCCCTCCGCTGCCGTAGCCGCTTCGAAGAGCCCTAACCTCCTTCGGTCTGCGTGTCTCAACTTCGCTAGAGATCGATTTGATCTTATCAGGTTAAAAAAAAAGAACTGATCTTTTATTTTTTTTTCTGCTTGATTGCTTTAAATAGAATATGCCCTTCTGACATTATATTTTACAGTTCTATATGTCTTGATTTCAATTATGAAAATAAATAAATAAATTATACCTTGCAATTTTAAGGAATCTATCACTGTGATATGAAGTAATGTGATGAATGGTTGTGTCATTAGTTTGGTATCTGTGTTGTTTTGAATTATAATCCTCTCTTGCCGTATATAGGTAGTGTTTGAATCATATCAGATACCACAAATGTTTTATCATTTAGTGCACAATGTTATGATTTTTTTTCAAGGGAAAAAAGAGTGAGGAGTACAATTTACAAAGATATGGCAATAGTTGTGTCTGGAATTGATTGTTGGCTTCATGGAATTGTTCGTTGCGGTCGTAGATACATGACGGGTGTGATTTAGTGTCTATCCTATCGAATATCCTTTTTTCGGTACGTTTCTAAAAGTTATGTTTAGGCTAAAGGTGTAGGAAGAGGGAGTAAGGAGAAGGGTGAACCCACATTAGTCATTTACTAATCCCAACGCTCAAATTGGTTAACCTGTTAGCTAAGATTTGTTTTAGTCCTTATCTCCTGTTTGGTATGTGGAAATATATATCATTAGTACTATTTTTTAATAAATAAAGGAGTTATCTCTTAACCAGTTGAAAGACGTGGGTGGATTAGTAAACCCCTTCATTTGAGAGGTCAACTCATTTTAACCCCTCTAGAGGGGTTATTTTAACTCTGTTGCAAATTTGCATTTGGCAAATTAAGGCTGGTTAAGTCACTTATATTCCATTTGTAAATTGTTTTTAGTTTGTATCTAGCAGGTTAAAGAGTGGGTAACTCTTCTTAACATTTCACTTAAGCTGTTGTCAAATGACACCTTAAGTGTAGTAATCCCTAATCAAGTTCCCAAGTTTCGTCGTTTTTCTCTCATGAAATAAACTATACGCAAATCACAAACTTTGAGGGTTTCTTTTAGCACATCTTCCGGACACGTGTCTCATGCCTCCTCATGATGAAAAATTGAGACGAGGACCTACCCACCCCTACTGCCCACCCCCACTATCGCCTTCATCCCAACCCCCAAGTCACACACATTTTTTTTCTTTGTAGTTGAAGCACTAAGAAAGAGAGGGAGGGATCCTTTAAAGATAAGGGATATACTCATTCCCCCTTTAGCATCTTAGTAACTAATGAAAACGTGGATGATAGTGTGATATCAAATTGGATTTGTGTGTTGAATTTGGATTTATGAAGTTCTTTGATGGATTGTTAAAAATCCTGGGGAGTTTTCTCATCTCAGTTTTCATCATTGGGTTTGTGGGGGGTGTTTTGGGGGAGGTTTTTGATTTTCATATAGTGAGTGGTGACAGATAGCATGCGTAGAAGTGTTTATTTTTTTAGGTTATGTAGGAAGGATAAAATACTCAATTCATGTTTCTGGTTTCAAACAGATACTTCTCCCGTAAAGACATTTACGTCATGGCTGGAGCAGGATGCCCTAGCTTAGATAGGAAAGTTGTCAACTCAGGGAAACGTCTGAGAACTCATGTCGGCATTGACGAAGGAGATGTGAGTGCTTAAAATGTTTCTGCCTTGTCAAACAGTTTCTTTAATCTAACATCTATGAAGGGAGTTTCTGTTTAAAATATTCATTTTTTTTGTTTGTGCCCTTTCTTAGGTTTGTAGCTCCTGTAGTTTAAGGGGCAGTTGCGAGAGGGCATATGTGAAAGCCCGAGAGGATGAATGTGGAAGAACCGTGGATATTATGCGATTTTTATTGACATATGGGCTTGATCTCACCAGTGGATCATTAATCAATCAGGCATCCATTACTAAAGTTGTAAAGGGATCAGTTAGAAAACTGATGAATGAAATGGTGGAGTTTAGTGAAAAGGAATTTAGTTCCAGTACTTCGAAAGCAACATCTGTACAATCAAGTGGATATGAAATCTCCAAATCTCAGAAAAATGTCCTTATGAAGCGGGGTGATTGGATTTGTCCCAAGTATTTTTCTATGAAGTTTCTAATTGCTTTAAACTTTATGGTTTGATCATCTCCTTTCTAATGTACTTTTTTCCTGGATAGATGCAATTTTATGAATTTTGCAAAGAATATCAAATGCCTACGTTGCAGTGGTGTTTCTCAAGAGAAACTTGACAAGCTGAGGGAAGAACGGGAGCATCTTCCTTTGAAAAAGGGTGACTGGATTTGTGAGAAGTAAGGTTTCTGATATACGAATTCTGGAAAGTTATCATCTTACATCTTCCTTATTAACCTTAATATTCATAAATATACTTTCCAGGTGTAATTTCTTGAATTTTGCAAAAAACACAAGATGCTTGCAGTGTCAGGAGAAGCCTTCCAATCGCCACCTCAATCCCGGGGAATGGGAATGTGTTTCGTAAGTCACTTCCTCTTCTGATTATTTAACTGCTTATTTCTCTTCTTAGTTTTTGGATACTGCATCTACGAATTACTTTATACTCTTAAGGACCTGTCATCTTATCATCAGGACTCAGGACTAAGAAGTGAAGTCCATGACCCCATAAAATGTTCTAAAAAGGTATAACTCCTGAATTGAACTAGGAATTCTGAACCGGGGAAACAAGTTTTTGTCATAAGTTGAATATAATGCTACTAGAATTATGGGGTATTGAGAAATTGTCATGCTTGCCCCGAAGCTGGACGTTCAGGGTAACTTAGCTGTGCTCGGAAATTTATTTGGAATCCAAGCTCTTCATGGGGTAATTTTGGAGCTCTATAATTTTGGTGCATTTGACCTGCTCAAGTCTAGACTGTTGGAGGTAGTCTAAAAAGAGAATGTATTTCAGTTAAATCTCTTTATAATATTTCTAATTGGTTTTTTTGTTGCGTCGATTGGTGAATTAATATATATATTATATATATATATATATATATTATATATATATATATATATATATATATATATAGAGATGAGAGAGAGAGAGAGAGAAGAGAGAGGGAGAGAGAGAGAGAGAGAGAAATGAGTATGCTTGGTACCAAGCCACCCAAAAATTATTGCTTGGTAGTAAGTTGGCATTGGTACCAAAGCATACCCATATTTCTCATATATATATATTATATATATATATATATATATATATATTATATATATATATACTTGGTACCAAGCCACAAAATATTATGCTTGGTAGTAAGTTGGCATTGGTACCAAGCATACCATATTTCTCATATATATATATATATATATATATATATATATATATTATATATATTCTCATATATATATATATATATATATATATATATATATATATATATATATATATTATATATATATATATATATATATATATATGAGAAATAATGCGGTATGCTGGTACCAAGCACAAATTTTTGTTGCTTGGTAGTGCATGTGTCACATCCCATCCACTTCATTACCTATATGAATATGGTTCCACATTTGAATGAAGTGGAGAGAGATGTGACACCTCACTACCAAGCACAACCTTTTTTGTGCTGTGATACCAAGCCATAACCCATATTTATACTTTATATATATATATATATATTCATATATTATATATATATATATATATATATATCTTCATGTTGCCTCCTGCAAAGTTTTTAACGTTCCTTGAGAAAGCGAGAAAATATTTATTATCTTTTTATTTTTTTATTATATCTTCATGTTGCCTCATGCAAAGTTTTTAACGTTCCTTGAGAAAGCGAGAAAGTATTTATCATCTTTTTTTTTTTTGTTGATTTCTTGCAGCTGCAATTACATCAATTTCCGGAATGAGAAAGCGAGAAAAATATTTATCATCTTTTTATTTTTTTTCTTGACTTCTTGCAGCTGCAATTACATCAATTTCCAGAAAAATATGGTATGCCTGAAATGTGACTGGAAACGACCTAAAGCATCAAATAGCGAAGAAATTATTCCTAAGCAACATCAATACCTAAAGAGTTCTAGTATGTCATTTGTTAGAGACAGTAAAGACACCAGCAATCCTTGTTCTTTCCCACAAAAGTACTCCTCAGAAGGTGAAGGCTCAAACTTTTGGAGTTGTGACGAGGACGAAACAGGCAATGATGATGACAAGGAAGACAATACTTGGATCAGATTTGCCAACAATTTTCCTATCTTGGGAGGCAAGAGTGTTGTTTCTAAAGACCCTTCAAAGAGAGAGAGGTGGAAAGGAGAGATGTTGAAGAGTAGAGGGGCCTTATCAAAGAATTTGGATGAAAATGCTGACAAGATCAGTTACAGCGTTAATGGACAGGAGTTGGATGAATCTAGTGATGAAGATAATATGGCTGGATGGTTCCGTAGAAAAAGTGGGATTAGGATGGAGAAGTGAATCATTATTCTTGAGGCCTAGTTGGGAATATTGCTTATGAGTTACTGTTTCATTTAACAAAATGAGCTATCAAGGGACATGAGTAGTGAACTTCATTTGCTCTGATTTGACTATTCCCCATGCTCGCAAATTGGCAGAGAGAATACACAATGTAGGATATCTTTACTTCTTTGAAGAAATAAATGGCCTCTCCTCAGAACAGAAATTGTCCCAACCTTAAGAAGGCGCACATATTTTATAATTGGTTGTATATTTATTAAAAATAGGGTAAATGGGTTTCAATTTATACATGAACAATCTTAAAAGTAGGTTTTTGTTGCAATTAACCACCTCCCAGTCAAATTTTAACTAAAAAACCACAAATTTAGCTTTAAAAAATGCAACTTTAAGATACTGTGAGTTGTATCCTAAAATTTCTAACAAGACCTAAGCACCAAAAAAAAAAAAAGAGTCGTGTGCCTTGATTGTGAGTTTTGAAGGGTGATTTTGGGTTTTCACTGAAAATTTTGATTGGGAGGTGGTTAATTGCAACAAGAACACATTTTAAAGATAGTTTGTATATAAATTGAAAATAAAAGGTGGTTTTCGTATAATTACCCTATTTTTGAGGTGGTTTCTAGGAAAAATCCTATATCCAATTAACAAAAAAATGCTTGTATTTATACTTGTATAATATAAATTTTGTGATATGTTCAGTACTGAAAGTACCTCTACAGGTGGAAGTGATGACCAGAGGATGGTGCAGAAGGGGTCAATGCTGAGATGTTCTTTCCCTTAATGAGTGAGAAATGCGAATAATGTTTATTAGATTTTCCTGAGTTGAGACATGCTAAGCTGGAGTTTGTAATGTGGAGTTTAGTCAACAAATAAGCAATCAGCTTTGGTTTGTTAACTTGATTTTTCTGTGTATAATATTACTGGTAGGAGGGTTGAAAGATTTGTATCACAAATAGTATTTATTGACTAGCATATAAATTTGCAAACATTTATAATTCTGTGGTTCAGTGATGATTCTAATGAAAATATAAAACCGGATTGTTACTCGAGCAGGTCTGTCGTCCTTCCTTTTGTTCCTATGTATGCGTTCCATTTTAATGTAAGCTCTTGCTAGATAACTTTAGCTTCTCGTTATGGATAGATAACTTTAGCTTCTTGTTATGGATTCTTTTCGGACGCCTTCAAGATTTTGGGTATTTAGCTTATCTTTTTCAGATTTTGGTATTTGCCAATTTGTCTGCCTAATCGTGTGGAGTTGGATTAGTTTTATTGTTCTCACTTATGATTGTTGTTTAATTAGGTTTCTAACGGAAGTTTACTGAAATATCTATATTGTCCTCCTTTGAATGTGCAGTGCTCTTGTAACTGCCAATCCTCTTGTTGATTGTAGTGATTATAACTAATGCTTACAAGTTGTTCACGTAAGGATGACTGTTTGTAGAACTAGCTTCCGCACCGAGCACTCTGTAGAGTTTAACGTATGCCGATACGATCTAAATAGACTTTCATTTTTCTCATGCACGCCTTTTGTCATCGCTTATTAACCGCATCGAGATCTGGCATGTTCGATTTGGATCTTTCAAAGTCCGGTTACGCTGAGGTTGAGAAAGAGTGCATCGATGGGCGGTAGAACACAATAAGAAGAAGATGCCATCAATGTAAATAAATTTTCTGGCCAAGATATGTGAAATTAATTTGAGTTTTGAAACATGGAGTTAAAATTAACAAGTAAGCTACATTGCAGGTAAAGTACGAAGTGGAAAGACTTTTACCCCTATCAACATGTAAGAATTTGTATATGGACCCTCTCTTTCTGACTCCCATCATTCCCTTTTTACAGCGTACGTTCGTGATGCTGCTCGAAGAATATATATATATTCATGCACTTCGGTACATTCAATAGACTTTGTTATGTGATTAAAAAAGCATTAATTACACAATGCGTGTTTGGTGATGCTTCTGTCGCATTTAAGACATTTTAGGGTTGTTATGGACTATGGTTCTGATAGAAACATGAGCCAGTGAATTTATATCCACAATGTGGGTGGTACTTTACGTTCTCTCTCAGAATTAGTAGAATGTGTAGAAGTTGACTGTCCCAAATGTCTATTGATTCCCATTTTAGGGAAAATCTTTTTTTAACCCAAAGTTTTATTTCAACTTATTTTTAAACCCATCTTCTTTCATTATGATCCATACACCCAAAATACAACACCCACTTATTTATAAACCCAAAGTATCACTTATTTATAAACCCAAAGTATCAAATACACCATATTTCTGGTGCTCCTCCCACTCAAAAAAACCCTAAAACACTCAAAAACACTCGACTACTGACGCATCGTGTTTATTGGCCGATTATCCACCGCGTCGGGCTGTCCTCGTTGAATTTCGAAGCTTCAGGCAAAGTATAGCACTTTACGGAAAAGTATAGCACCTTATGGCCAAAGTATAACACCTTATGGCAAAGTATAGCACCTTATGAGCAAAGTATAGCACCTTAAGGTCAAAGTATAGCACCTTATGCTCTCTAAAAATTCTGGACATCAAGTTGTCGAGAACCATTTTAGTTTTTTTCCCCGCAACGAAAACATTCGACGATCGACGCATCGTATTTATTGGCCAATCATCTACCGCGTCGGGCGGTCCTCGCTGAATTTCGAAACTTCAGGCAAAGTATAGCACTTTATGGGGAAATATAGCACCTTATGACCAAAGTATAGCACATTATGGCAAAATATAGCACCTTATGGCAAAATATAGCACCTTATAGGCAAAGTATAGCACCTTATACCCAAAGTATAGCACCTTATCTCTCAGGCGGTCCTCGCTAAATTTCAAAGCTGCAGAATTTCCAGAGAGCATAAGGTACTATACTTTGGGCATAAGGTGCTATACTTTTCCCATAAGGTGCTATACTTTGTCATAAGATGCTATACTTTGGCCATAAAGTGCTATACTTTGCCTGAAGCTTCGAAATTCAGCGAGGACCGCCCGACGCGGTAGATGATTGGCCAATAAATACGATGCGTCGATCGTCGAATGTTTTCATTAAAAAACTAAAATGGTTCTCGACAACTTGATGTGCAGAATTTTTAGAGAGCATAAGGTGCTATACTTTGACCTTAAGGTGCTATACTTTGCCCATAAGGTGCTATACTTTATCATAAGGTGCTATACTTTGGCCATAAGGTGCTATACTTTCCCGTAAAGTGCTATACTTTGCCTGAAGCTTCGAAATTCAACGAGGATGGCCCGACGTGGTGGATAATCGGCCAATAAACACGATGCGTCAGTAGTCGAGTGTTTTTGAGTGTTTTAGGGTTTTTTTGAGTGGGAGGAGCACCAGAAATATGGTGTATTTGATACCTTGGGTTTATAAATAAGTGATACTTTGGGTTTATAAATAAGTGATACTTTGGGTTTATAAATAAGTGGGTGTTGTATTTTGGGTGTATGGATCATAATGAAAGAAGGTGGGTTTAAAAATAAGTTGGAGTAAAACTTTGGGTTAAAAGAAGATTTTCCCTTGATTTTAAAAGAATAGGTTAGCATTAGGTGAGTTAACGCCATATGTGGGAGATTAGGTTAGCATTTTGGTCCCTTTCTGCATCTAAATCCACGTGGTCGATCCCCAAGACATATGGATATGCATGAAACTGCTTTCAGGACGGACGCATCTACTGTATAGCATCTAGTTAAGGAAGAAATAGGTTTATATATTATCCTTCAGAAATAGGCAAAAGATTGAAACTTTGAGCATGGGATATTCTTTTTTTTTTTTTTTTTTGGGTTTAGGAATTCATAGAATGTCTGTTAAGGATATATCCTCATAACCTAAGCTTTTTTAAGGAACTGATTGCTGATAGCCCCCTCGACTATAATCAAAAGATAAACCCCTCATAGTTCTATTGTTGCGGATAGACCCCCTGAATGAACTTTTTGACACTTTTACCCTGAGAAGCTAGGTCTATTTGTCGAACAAACAATTTTCTTTTTCTCTGAAGGTAGAGTCAAAATTTTCACTCGAGGAGTCTGTATGCAACAATAGAACTGCAGGGGGTGAATCCACAATTGCGTGATAGTAGAAGGGACCTAGCCACATTTTCTTTTTTTAAAAGATTTACTCCAATGTTGATATAATTATTTCATGGGTAAGATTCGTAACAAAAGTAAGCTTTTTAAAAATAAATACCCTGACTTATAATCCTCAGCGAATGGCAATAGCATGTCACTGCGGAAAGAATTAAGCTTTTGTGTAGAGAAGTGATGGCAATCATATATAAAGGGTAACATCCATTTTTTGAGAGTTTGTTCTATCCCGTGGATTAAAATCTTTAAGAACAAAATACAGATAAATTTCCTTATTTAGACGACCACACTGGTATGATTTCTTAGATACAAAAATGATACATACATGTGTTCATTTGCTTTTGTCAGTGCTTTTACTTATGTATTCTTTTTCTTAAAGCAACCTCGGAGATTTTCCATTGACAGCTTAACGAAGATGTTACAAATTTGGTTAAGCAAGAACTGTGAACCTAGCAAAAGTGGCAAAGTCAATTGCTTATACACCAGCTCGATGCTTGCATGCAACTGCCATTCCAATATCTACTGTTAGCTGACATGTGCCCGTGGCCCACCGTCATTTGGTTTGATCGATGAGAGATTTTATGGTGGAGGATCATAAGTCATTAAGCACTCCACAATTCAACTGTGGGGGTTTCGTGAGGAAAGATTTGACTGGATTAATTAAGTCATTGAATCTCATTTCAACGAAAGAATGCTCTGAAAGTCACAGTGGGAAGGTTTTTAATCATATTGGAAATGATTAAATAGCCATAGTGGAAGGTTCTTAATCATTTTTATCATGATTAAGAATGAATTATTCCGATGACCGGTTTTCACCTTGAATGGTCAGGTTCTTAATCATTTTTATCATGATTAAGAATGAATTATTCCGATGACCGGTTTTCACCTTGAATGGTCAGCTGGTCTCGGGTTATCCTTAAGATTAAGAATGAATTATTCCGATGACCGGTTTTCACCTTGAATGGTCAGCTGGTCTCGGGTTATCCTTAAGAATATTACGGGTAATATTCTTCAGGAACTTCCCTTTGAAAATAAGGGAAATAATTTATCCTCTTATACCCATTGGAGGTGGGGAAAACAGTTTAACCTCTTATACCTATCGGAGGATGGGAGCAGTTTAACTTCATATACCTATCGGAGGACGGGAGCAGTTTAACCTCATATACCTATCGGAGGAAACCGTTCTCACTCGGCTTACTTTGGCGTTATGACGCCAGCGTCAACCAAGGTTTGAATGTTGTTTTTCAGCGTAATACAATTCTTGGTGGGGTGATGTACCTTCCCGTGGTACGTACAATACTTTGGATCCGAGGTCTTATTTGCTTCCTCCTGATTTATGAGCGGTGGCAGCTTGATTTTGTTGTTGGCGAGGAGGTACTTGAAGATGGTTGGAGCTTCATCATCTTCAAAAGAGTACTCCTCCTGGAACCTCGGATTAGGAGTCCCTTGTTGCCTGCAAGGTTGCTGTTGATGAATGTTGACATCAGTTGTAGGGGCATTGGCCGTCGGTTAGCCTCTCTCGGCTTTCTTCCTTTTGAGAAAGCGTTCGGCCTATTCACCATGCAATTTTAATTTCTTCTAGGTGGTGGAAGGTACGACCCCCAGGATTTCCAGGACATCGATGGAAAGGTTGTTATGACACGTCTCGAGCATGAATTCCTCCGTGACATGATCCCTACAATTCATTACCTTGTTACGGAAGCGTTTGACAAAACTGTCAACTGACTCACCATCCTTCTTCTTCTCATCCAGAAGAGCTATGATCGACACTTCGATGTCATCATCGAGGAAGTTGTTGAGGAACGAGTTTTCCATGTCATCCCAGCAATTAATGCTCCCTGGCTTGAGACGTCGATACCAATCGAAGGCCGCCCCGCGAAGGGTGCCCACGAATGACCGAATCATTAGGGGTTCATTCCCGAAGATCACTCCCAGGTGGGACTTGAAATAAATTAGATGTTGCGTGGGCGAACATTTCCCATCAAACGGCGTGAAGTTAATTAAATTGAACTTCATCGGGTACGGAATTGAATCCCACTCTCTTGGATATGGGCATGAAATGCCCATTCTCCTCACTTCTTGAGCGGACATTAAGGCATTGACCTTATTTTCCAGCTCTTTTATCATCTCATCATCGTCCACATCTTCATTCGATGGCTGTTGAGGAGAATGAGTTAGACCACCTCTAGCGTTTTTACTTTTAGGGGGTGCATTTGAACCACCCCCAGTGTTATTAAGGGGTGCGATTGGACCACTCTTAGTATTTTTAGGGGGTGTGTCAGCCATGATGACTTCGACCACTTCTGGATCGCTGTCAACTGCGACGTTCTGAGTACGGTGGCTGGATTCAACTTGCTGATTTGATAAGGCTTGAAGCTGCTGGTCATGTAACTCCCCCACCCGTTGCATGTTCAGCTCCATTTGCATATTCATTTCAGTTCTAAGCTCTTCTCGCTGTCGAGCTAAAGCCACATGAAGCATTTGAGCCACTTGATCTGGGGTGATCATGAACGACTCCCTTGCTTCTCCCATGCTGGACATTATGTCATTGGAGGTAATTATAGAACACGTATCTGAGGGCTCGTCATCTGAAGCGACTGCGGAGCAAGTGTCTGACAGCTCGTTATCTGAAGATAGTCCTTTGTGCATCCTCGGATAATTCCTATGTCCGATGGCTTCTATCTAGAGCCGAGATATTTGTTGGGTAATTCTTAGATTGACTTTTCCTCCCGGGCTAAAGTTAGGATTAGGATCATTCGAGCGCCGTGTTGATTTTCTTTTGTCAACCATGTTGATGGTGACTTCAGGAAATTCATCATCCTGAATGGTGGATTTTCTCTCATGGAAGCGTTTTAGCATGGGCTTCGACGCTTCAGTGGCAAGCTTCTTGAACATCGAGATCCTTTGTGAAATGGTCCTGGGTAGCTACATTTTGATAATACCACCTTATAAGCCTCTCACATGAACAGTGAGAGCTAGTTTCTCGGACATCATCCTTTTGGGATTTATTCACACCCCAGCCTAATGGTGCAGCTTATTGGAGTAATCCATCGGTTGTTGGAGTAATCCATCGGACATCTTTTTTTGGGGATTAAGAACCTTGTTGATATTCTTGGGATGATTCGTTGTCGCCTTCGAATGATCCAAGGTCGCATCAGGAGTCACACATTTAGAACCACCCCCTTGTGAGCGTGAGATCTTGACGGGCTCCTGGGTTCCAATACGAACCCCCAGGTGATCGATGCGAGGAGTCCTCTTGTGCATAATGCACGAACATGTACAATGAGGTGTCCCAGTTTGTTTGGAGGTGGCGAGACACCTTTGAGTGGCCTCTGGCTTGACGTGAGTGTTTGTACGACCCCCAGCCTGAGGAATTACTCGGGTTTTATTCACCATAGCTTTGCCTCGATCTTCGTGTAAAGGACCCAGGCGATCCTTCATTGGAATCTTAAATTTGGATAGATCCATGCTATCATAGGGCTTTGCTGGAGGTGGGAGCAAGAGGAGCGGGATCGGAGGCTTTCTGAGTTGATTTCGGCGCTATTCCGGCCTTCGGCACCCAGACTTGTTTGCATTTTGGTGGTTTTTTAGCCACCTCTTCCTTTTGCATGTCTTGAGCTTTTCGTACAAAGGCACGCCCGCGTGCAGCACATGCGCGTCGTTTTTGGATGCGCTCCTTCAAGGTTGAACGAGTCCTTTTGATAAGAACCCATTCTCCCGTCGATGGTTCGGTGGAAGTAGCAGTAACTTGTCGTTAGGGCGGCTGGATTACCTGATGCTTCCTAGACTCCAAGTCTGCATAGTAGTGAACTCCATCGATTTGTTCCAACGCGTTGGCAATTTGACGAGCCTGGCGTTGGCGTCGCCTCTGACGAGCTCTCTTCGTCAGAGTTGGTGTACTTTGATTGAACAACTCCTTTACCAGGGAGGAGTTGTGGCGAGCAGAGTCATTTGCAGCTTTTTTCGGTGAATACGCCTCCTTCAAAGATGAGATCTTTCCCCACTTACAGGGAGATGATGATTCTGATGAAGACGAGGAGAAATATTCCTCGAACTTGGCTTCGTCGAACTCGTACTCGACTTCTAAATCAAGCAGGATCTTGATTATCGGTTGCGGCACGATAGCCTCAGCGACGAGGCTGTTGGTTCCTACTATGGTCGTCGACGTGTTTCGGTAGAAAGTTGGTTCTTTCATTAATGGACTCATCACATCTTCAGTCGTTACAATGATCTCAATAAATAAAATAAAAAATTACAACTTTTTGAAAACACACACAACAGACGTTTATCACCCGCTGTTTGCGTGGGGTTTTAGCCTGTGCCGGGGCTTATCTGTGGACCATCGACTGATCAGATCTAATATAAAGATTTTGTTGTCTCACAAAGGAGACAAGAAACTAAAGTAACTATCTAGGCAAAGCGAGATAATCACTCTTCTCGAGAATCACAGCTAAGTACGATCTCAAGAAAATAGATGAACGGATGCAGATCTCTCGAACTCTTCCTCTTTATGCCGAATAGCTTGCTGAGATCTCTTTCTTCTCTCTAAAATTCGTGCTTTTCACTCTTCAATTCGACAGGGCTTCGACGAGGCTTGAGAATTCCCGATCTGTGCAAATGAAGGTCCTAGGGCTGTATTTATAGGCTTCAGAAGCCTAATTTTTGGATAAGAACGAATGATTTGCTCTTATCCTTAGTTGTAGTCACTTAACCATGTTCAAAGATAACCTCAAATCAGTTAGAGAGGCTTTAGATCAGTATCAGGGCAGTTAACATCGAAGAAACGACAAAAAAGGTATTTTCGGGGTCGGGACAGTCTTGGCCAGGCCAGAATGTTGGGCTCAGGACAGAATCTTAGGCTCGGGACAGTATTTTGGGCTCAGGACAGTCCTGGCCAGGCCAAGACACAAATGTGCCTTGGCCGAGACGTCGTTTTGCCCCCTTTGACTATTTTTGTCGTAACTTTCCGATCCGGTTTCAGAACGACGTGATTTAAACTGCGTTGGAAAGTCAGAGAAGAGATCTACAACCTCCCATAGGTGGATCACACGTGGAGTTGATTAGACATGAGTAGCACTTCATTTTTTGCGGTTAAAACATAACTCCCGATCGAGTTGTTTCATCACTGTTTGACCGTCTCGTTGACTTGTACGCCTGTTCAACTTGCTTCATGCATTTGTTGACGTCAGGTAATCCTCCTTGACTCAGATAATAATGTTCATCGTCTTATCTCCGCATCGAGTTGTGTGCGGTAACCTATAGGTAATTTTTGACGCCTACAGCCTATTGATTTTAAAAGAATAGGTTAGCATTAGGTGAATTATACGCCATATATGGGAGATTAGGTTAGCATTTTGGTCCCTTTCTGCATCTAAATCCACGTGGTCCCCAAGACATATGAATATGCATGAAACTGCTTTTAGGACGCATCTACTGTATAGTATCTAGTTAAGGAAGAAATATGTTTATATATTTTCCTTTAGAAATAGGCAAAAGATTGAAACTTTGAGCATGAAATATTCTTTTTTTTGGGGTTTAGGAATTCATAGATTGTCTGTTAAGGATATATCCCCATAATCTAAGCTTTTTTAAGGAACTGATTGCTGATAGCCCCCTCGACTATATTCAAAAGATAAACCCTCATAGTTCTATTGTTGCGGATAGACCCCCAGAATGAACTTTTTGACACTTTTGCCCTGAGAAGGTCTATTTGTCGAACAAACAATTTACTTTTTCTCTGAAGGCAGAGTCAAAATTTTCACTCGAGGAGTCTGTATGCAACAATAGAACTGCAGGGGTGAATCCAAAATTGCGTGATAGTAGAAGGGACCTAGGCACATTTTCTTTTTTTAAAAGATTTACTCCAATGTTGATATATTCATAAGGTGTTTATCTGATACGAGCTCTCTTCATGGGTAAGATTCGTAACAAAAGTAAGCTTTTTAAAATAATTACCCTGACTTATAATCCTCAGTGAATGGCAATAGCATGTCACTGCGGAAAGAATTAAGCTTTAGTGTAGAGAAGTGATGGCAATCATAAAGGGTAACATCCATTTTTTGAGAGTTTGTTCTATCCCATGGATTAAAATCTTTAAGAACAAAATACAGATTATTAGAATTAATATAAAACTATAATACTTGATCCTCACCATAACTTCGGAGTTTTGGTGTAATGATTAAAGGAACTAAATTTAAGATGATATCAGAGCAACACAGGTTCAAATCCCACCGGTTACAAATTAAATGCGGATTTTCTAAAATTTGACACTGCTACGTGAGTCAAGGTTTCGACCCATAAAAAAAGAGGTCTAATGGTTAGAGAAACTAAATTTAAGACAGATAAATTTCCTTATTTAGACGACCACACTGGTATGATTTCTTAGATACAAAAATGATACATCCATGTGTTCATTTGCTTTTGTCAGTGCTTTTACTTATGTATTCGTTTTCTTAAAGCAACCTCGGAGATTTTCCATTGACAGCTTAATGAAGATGTTACAAATTTGGTTAAGCAAGAACTGTGAACCTAGCAAAAGTGGCAAAGTCAATTGCTTATACACCAGCTCGATGCTTTCATGCAACTGCCATTCCAATATCTACTGTTAGCTGACATGTGCCCGTGACCCACCAATAGAGGATCCCCTTCTTAGACTTCTGGCAAAAGCTTATAAAGACCAAACAATCATCAAACACAAAGTACTCAAAAACTTTGTTCTTAATTTGATTGTTTTGAGTTTATTTTTATCTGATAATGGCTACATCAAGTGATTCCTCTATGTCAACATATGCATCGTGTGCTCCTATTACAGGAGAGCGCAAGCTCAACCTGGACCTGCAGAAGCAGCTTCCAAAACCATTACTTCCTTCTCATTTATTTTCAACCCATATGGATCTTTTATTTATTTATTTATTTTATTTGTTCATGTATATTTTGTGTTTAGTGCATGTTTGGAGTGATCACAAGTTCATGCAATAGACGTGGTATAGTGAGTCATGGTTATTTTGTATTGGTTAGTGGACTAATTTGACCTGTCATTCTAAGGTTAATGGACTAATTTAACCTCAATTCAATTACTTTACTACAAAATTCTACATGCTACGTTAAAGTAGGCAAATAAAATAAATGAGAATCTGTCGCGTTAGATTTATAATCCAGAACAAAACCAACATCTATCTCTATCCATATGCATGTCATGAGTTTTTCATATTGGAATTCCTGAAATAAACATTTCCTTCTAATATGTCACTAGATCTAGCACGGGCTTTGGTGGCAATCGATCCTGACCATCCAAATGGAACAGAAGGGAGGGATAACCACAATATGAGCGTGCTCCAGCAGCATGTTTCTTTCTTTGACAGGAACAAAGATGGGATTGTGTATCCATGGGAGACTTACCAGGGTATTTAATCAATTAATTTTCAATACCTTATAAGTTGATGTGAGAAAATGAAATTTTAACATTTTTAACGCATGTTTCAGGTTTTCGAGCAGTAGGGTGCAACATTTTTCTGTCGTTGAGTGCGGCTTTTTTGATCAATCTTATACTTGGATACAGCACTCAACCTGTAAGATATTTAGATTCTATGGCTTGATTTCATTCATTGATTGAGTATTTGAGTTTAACAATGATTACACTTAGAATCTGTAAAAAAATGCATGTATTTATTGGTTGAGTTAAAAAAAGACAGGATATAAAGAATCTGTGAAAATGAGTTCAAGATATAGGTAATAGATTATTCAAGGAAAGTAATATAAACATACTTGTCTCGCATACTGATGACAGAAATAAGATGGGAAAAATATGATGAGGTAGATGTGTTTTACGTAAGGTCATGAGTTCCCTTCTTATTTAATGAAACAACTTATGCTTAGCAATTGTTAAAGGAACATTAAGGAAATAAAATTTCATGTTTTCAGGATAGGGATTTTACTTTTTTACCAGCCAGGATCGACTAATAGGGATTGAGCTCAAGATATTTTGGTACTACCAATCATTTTGCACCAAACCTATTGAATTCCATGTTTTGAGGAAAATTTACCTCTTTGCAATAATGTTGTTAGCTGATTGGTCTTAGTATAATAGTATTCATGTTATGAGAAGTCTCATTAAAAATGTCACTAGCATAAATAATTTTACCTATTTTGTCAATTTCACTTTCAGATAAAATAGGTAAAATTATTTTGGCATTTTCATTTCTTGTGTGTTATAGACTGGTTTTTATTCTCTAATACAGGGATGGCTTCCTAATCCTCTACTACCTATTTATGTGAAGAACATCCATAGATGCAAACATGGAAGTGACTCTGAAACATATGACACAGAAGGAAGGTTAGTCTTCTTACCTCAATGGATTGGTTGCTTTGTTGCAGTTTATTCAATTTGATGGTTTTGTAAGTGTAGTTGAGTATAGCTGAGACGTACGACCAGTTGAAATTTTTTGTTCTACAATTGACAAATACAGTTAGAAAAGGGGCTTAAGTCATAATTTGAAAAAGTTACACTGATTCGGCCATAAGTTGAAGTTGCAACCTTTTTAGCGCAAACAGGGTTTAAGTTGTAACTCCAATAGCAACCAACACTCAACAGAATTCTAAAAAACCTTACACCTCATAACAAACACATGAAACTACAAGCATGTCTACAAATTGCAAAATTTTAAAACTGAACCAAGCAAGTACAACTAGAACTCTATGTTGTACATAGAACTCTCATGGCCAGAGTCTGCTTTATTCTGCATTTCTTTATCAAGCAAAAGTGATAATTTGCGGATATTCTCTTCTGCAGGTTTGAGCCATCAAAATTTGATGCAATTTTCAGTAAATACGCGCTGACATATCCTGATGCATTAACATCAAAAGAGCTAGACAAGATGCTTGAGGCCAACAGAAATCTCACTGATTTCATAGGCAGGTCTGTGAATTGTTTGAGTTCCATGTTCGAAGTATATTTGTTTCTGAGAAAGCTATGTATGTGCAATAAAACTTCATTTTCAACTATTACAGGCTCATAAGCTTGGGTGAGTGGAGGCTTCTTTATAGTTTGGGGAAAGATGAGCAAGGTTTGTTACACCGAGAAACCATTAGAGGAGTCTTTGATGGTAGCTTGTTCGAACAATTGGAGAAGAAGAGAGCTTCTTCCTTGAAAAAGAACTAGATGTTTCTGACAAAAGTACTTGGTGCTCAATTGCAAAAACTTTCATGTTTCCTGTATACTGTTGCTGTCAAAACAATAATAATATAAAACAAATTAAGGAGTTAGAAAATTCAGGCCTGATTGGGAGCAG